CAAGTCGCGCCCTCGCGTGGGATTCACAATTTATGCAAGAATCGTGCTCTCGTGTGGGACTTCTTTGGAATGTCTTCAAGCGCCGCGCCCTCGCCACTCATGAACCATGCTCTCGCTCTGGATTCTCAGACAAATTTGTTTTGGGAATCGCACTATCGCTCGAGACATCCTCGCGATTCCTGCAAGACGCACGCTTCAGCAACCCGCCTGCTCGACCTGGCCGTTTTGGCCCGCCTTCCCGACCAGCCCACTAGGGTCTACCCGCCCGATCTGCCCGTCTGGTTCTGCCACGTGTTTTCTGCTCCTAGCTCCCCTCCTGCTACTCTCTCTCTCGTACTCCATCCTCCTCTCTCCCCCTTGCCCCTTCCTTCGCTCCGTCCTGTCTTCCCCTGTCATAGGGGCTGCACGAAATACACGTTGCAGGTAAGAGAGATATATCCCCCCAAGGGGGTACGATCGAAGACGAAAAGGGCGGGTATTGAGGGTTTGGGAGATGCGTGATGAATGGCACGCGAACAGATCAGATCGACCAGTCTCGAAATTATTCCCCAATCTGAGCTTGCCTCTGTGGGGGTCCTAGCGGATTCATACCTGTACGACCACCTTTCGGGTGATAAGGAGGTTCGGGGGGGGGGGAGGAACCAACGTCTCACTCGATCGGTCTCACTATCGATCTCACTATCGATCTCGCTATCGGTCTCGCTCGATCGATCTCACTCGATCGATCTCACAATCGATCTCATTCGATCTATTTCATTCGATCGATCTCACGATCAATCTGACTATCGATCTCACAACTGATCTCACTATCGATCTCACTATCGATCTCATTATCGATCTCACATTCGGTCTCACGATCGATCTCACAATCGATCTCACAATCGATCTCACAATCAACGTCACCATCATCATCATCATCATCATTATCATCATCAACATAATCGTCATCAACGTCATCAACATCATCTCCATCGGAACATGATAACCATCATCGCCTCATCACCATCATCATCAACATCAGCATCATTACCATCATCATCATCATCATCATCATCATCATCATCATCATCATCATCATCGGGACACCATCATCGTCACCATCATCATCATCAACATCATCACCATCGGGGCACCATCCTCATCATCATCATCGGAACACCATCATCCTCATCATCTCATCCTCATCATGAACCACATCATCAACATCATCATCGGGGCACCAACATCACCAACAACATCATCACCATCGACATCATCATCACCACCATCGGGACACCATCATCACCGTCACCATCATCATCATCGGGACACCATCACCATCATCAACATCAACATCATCACCATCATCGGGCCACCATCATCAAAATCATCACCGGCACCTCATCCTCATCCTCATCATCAACATCGTAATCATCATCATCGGGACACCATCCTCGTCAACATCATCACCATCAACATCATCATCATCATCATCTGGACACCATCATCATCAACAGCATCACCATGAATGAACCTCATCATCATCATCATCATCATCATCATCGGGACACCACCATCATCATCACCTTCATCATCATCATCATCATCTCATCATAATCACGATCATCAACATCATCATCATCGGGACACCATCATCATCAACACCATCATCAACATCATCATCATCGGGACACCATCATCATCACCACCATCACCATCACCATCATCATCATCCACATCGTCAACATCGTCATCATCATCATCATCATCATCATCATCATCATCATCATCATCATCATCATCATCATCATCATCATCATCATCATCATCATCGGGACACCATCTTCATCACCACCATCACCATTATCTCATCATCATCATCATCAACATTATCATCGACATCATCACCATCGACATCATCATCATCATCATCATCATCATCATCATCATCATCATCATCATCATCATCATCATCATCATCATCGGGACACCGACGGGACACTGGCGGGACACCAGCGGACACCGCGGGTCACCGGCCCCCGGAAAGGAATCATTTGGTCCGGCCGCGCTTCAGCAAGAGGCGGGACACCGGCGGGACACCGCGGGCCACCGGCCCCCGGAAAGGAATCATTTGGTCTGGCCGCGCCTCAGCCGGAGGAGACTTTCTTCTCGCCCGCCCACGCAGCTTCGCCTCGCCCGCACGCACGGCACGCACGAACACGAAACCGAGACCGATTTCTCGGTAGGGGGGCTCTCCGTTCCACTTCGATCTCACCCCCTCACCTCCGAGACTTAGGTGAGGTGTGCCGCCGATTTCGGCGGCGGGCCCGGGTGCCCAGGTGCCCAGGGGTGCCCAAACGTGCTTGGAGGTGCCTGGTGCCCGGTGGTGCCCAGGGGTGCCCGGAAGTGCCCTGGGGTGCCCGGAGGTGCCCAGGGCTGCCTGGGTGCTCTATCGCCCTATAGCTCTATAGCCACGTAGCCCTATAGCTCTATAGCCCTATAGCCCTATAGCCCAATAGCCAATAGCCCAATAGACCTGTAGCCCTATAGCCCTATAGCCCTATAGCCCTATAACCCTATAGCCCTATAGCTCCATAGCCCTATAGCCCCATAGCCCACTAGCCCAATAGCCCATACAGCCCTATAGCCCTACAGCCCCCCCAAAATGGAAGGGTTTCTGTCTCCGGTATCATGGTTGTTGTTGATGTTGATGCTGATGTTATTGTTGTTGTCGTCGTCGTCGTCGTCGTCGTCGGCTTTATCGTTGTTTGTTGTTTGTTGTTTGTTGTTGCTGTTGCTGTTGCTGTTGCTGCTGCTGCTGCTGTTGTTGCTGTTGCTGTTGCTGTTGCTGTTGCTGTTGTTGTTGTTGTTGTTGTTGTTGTTGTTGTTCTTGTTCTATACTATTTAGTGTTACTGTTTTTTTCCCAAACCATCCTGTTGTCTGGGGTCCTGATTTTGGACAGGCAGCGCCCCGCGTCTCCCTCCCGCTGCCCTCCTCCTCCTCCTCCTCCTCCCTCCTCCTCCTCCCCCCATCCTTGTCTCGGCCCTCCGCATGTCTCTGCTTCGGCACACCCCGCACACGTTTTGAGGCTCCATAGGGAGCTTCACCGAATGCCTCAATGGCAAGAAGCGCATGCGTGACCGCGTCCAAGTCGGTACACCCCTCACACGGTTCGTGGAACCATAGGGTGCCCCACCGAATGCCCCAGTTGCAGGAATCGCATGCGTGACCGCGCATATTTGGGCACATCCCTCATACGTTTCGTGGCCCCACAGGGAGCTCCAAAGAAAGCCTCCGTCGTGGCAAGAATCGCATGCGTGACCGCGTCCATTTCGGCACACCCCTCACACGGTTCGTGGAACCATAGGATGCTCCATCGAAGGCTCCGCTGCCTGCTGCTCTCCAAGGCCGCGCCCACAAGCGCGCAGATCAGCCGTAACGGGTTATGTAACCCGTTGCCGCCGACCTCTGCGACCCCATCAACGACGTCGCTCCGTCCTTCTCACGCGCCTTGTTCTTTGCTAGCCCCCTGCCTTGGTTTCCACTTGTCTTGCGGTACTCACGGCTTCACATGGTTGGGTGCTTCGCCAAGCAAATTTCCCAGCGATAGTCCGATGATGATGATGATGATGATGATGAGGAGGAGGAGGAGGAGGAGGAGGAGGAGGAGGAGGAACAGGAGGAGGAGGATGATAATGTCGAGTCTCGGGAAGTCGGATCGGAAACTCTCGGGGATGCGCATCGGATCGAGCCGCCGCTGGATAGGGGTTGGGGCGTTTTCCGAGGTTTTCGGAAGTCTTCGTCGGTTCTTGGAGGTGTTCTCGCCGCGGTATGCTTTCCAGCAGCTGCGCCTCGCCGAGAAAGTTCTGGGGGTGCCTGGGTCGTCTCGAACGGTCGCTGGTGACCCGAACTAGGACCTGAAGACCACCGGTCGGAGCGCCGGATCGCATCGGAAGGCGCACAGAATCGAGCCGCATCGGCACGGGGTCGGTCTCGAGCTGCATCGGCACGGGGTCGGGATACACGACGACGCCGCGCGAGCATCCCTGTCCAGCGCGGGGCCCTCAAAAGTCCCGACTCTCCCCCCGGGGCAGATTTTTCACCGCGGGTCCTTTTTCGATGGCCCTGGGATCCAGCGAGGGCCCCCCCGAGGCCCAACGCAGGCCAAGGCAGTCGTCGCGCGTTCTCTCCTCGGTCGCGCGAGCACGCCCAGGGAAAACGGGTCGCAGGAGCGCGGCGACCTGAAAACGGGTCCTGCGCGAGACGGCACAGGCGACCTCCGACGAGGTGGCTCACGCGGGCCGCCCGCGCGGCACGCCACGCTTGAGACGAAGGCGCCCACGTGCGACCCTGCGCCGGCAGAGTACGCATAGGTCGGGCATGTCCCCCTACAGGCGGATTTGGGACGACGAAAAATTCAAGACATTTTCCAAGAATGCGCAAAACTAGTCAAAACATCGTCCCCAGACGATTTTTTGACTGTTTCTGACTGTTCCCCCTGTAGAGGGACAGGCCCGACTCAACGTCAGCGCATGCGGCCCCGTTTCGGGGATCTTCTGACCCGGGTCAATCCAGACCCGGGTCAGCAGGAAACCCAAAGCTGCAATGCAGGAACAAAAAAACTGCAACGCAGGTCTTCGCAAACCCGGGTCGACCAATAAGCGCGGCCGCCTCGCGGCCACGAGCGGCTCGCTAACCCGGGTCAGCCAGAGGGGCTCTTCGCAGGATCCTGCAGGATCTGGCGCCCTGGCTGACCCCCCGTCCCCAGACCCCCGACGTCATGAATTTTTCATGACGTCGACCCCCCGCGGTCTGGACCCATTCCCTGGGACCCGTTCTTCGTCCTGAGTCGTTTTTTGACGGTCCCGAGGGCCGGTAAGGGCCCCCAGAGGCCAATAATAACGAAAAACCTCCCGTCGTGATTTCTTCCTCGCTCGAGGGGGTCTGGGTCTCGAGGCTCCCGGCCGTTTCCTGCGCCGCTCCCGCCGCATCGCTGGAGGCTCAAGGCGGGCCCTCGCGCCTGCATCTCCTGCCGCACCACGAGGCGCACGCCCTCCAGGTCGGCGCCGCTCGGGCCCCGGCTGCCGGGCGGCTCCGGGCTCGGGGGCAGCGCCGCCGGCGGCTGCGGAGGCGCCCGGGGGTCGCGGGGCGAGATCTTGTTGGCCCCCGTCTCTGGAAGACAGGGAAGCGCCACAAACACCAGCTTTTGGCGCTCCGCGCGGATGCCTCGGGTCTGCGCTGGGCCCCCCCTCCAGGGGCGGCGCCGGAGGCGCCGCCAGGGGGGGCCCCGCGCGGGTCCGAGAACTCCGCGCGGAGCGCCAAGAGTTGGTGTTTGTGCCGTTTTCTCCCCTTCGATTCTTGTCCCTGGGCGACAGCAGGGGCGATCCCGTGGACGGGGGCCCGGCAGCCTCGCGCCGAGCGCTCGTCCTGCCCAGACCTCCAGCGCCGTGGCTGCTCGCGGCGGGCCCCCCCCGGAGCTCTCGGCCCCTGGCCTTAAGTCGGGCCTGCTCCTACAGGGGAATTTTGGGCGAAAAATAAAACATACTAAACGAATCAACCACAATGGCAAACAAATACTAAAGCATCGTCCCCAGACTATTTTTTGATAATTTCTTGAATATTCCTCGTGTAAAGGGACAGGCCCGACTTAACCCTGGCCCCGCGGTACCCCAAGATCCGACGCTCGAAGAAAGTTGGCGCGGCGGGATTTCGGCAATTTTCGGCCCCCCGGCGCCCTCGCCGGGCCTCGGGAGCGTGGAAAAACGATTCAGGACGAGAAACCGGCCCTGGGGAAGTGGTCCTGACCTGCGAGACCCACGCATCGAAACAATCGGAGCTGCCGGATGTCTGGGGAACTGGTGTCTTGTCCCCAGCCGCCGTCGGATGGATCGCCCGCCGCGATCTTTGTTGGACGCGTGGAGGTCTGGGTGCTCCTCCCTCGTTTTCCTAGACCGCCCTCCCAGGAGCTCTCCTGGGGCGCGTCCGGCTAGGACCTCGCAAGGAATTTAGCCCCGACCCCTTCGCCAGGGGCACACCTTCGCCCCGGATACATGTCTGATGGTGCAGGGGCCTGGTACTGCATGGACCCCAGAGGACAGAGTTGGAGAAGCACCCCCGATTGAAACACTTGCATCGTCGTTGTTATTAAAGCATGCTTGTTATATAGGTACTAAAGCCAACACGTTTTAAACACACATGCGGTACACACATGCGTATTTGTGTATATAAAATGACTCTTCGTGTGTGTACATATATATATATATATATATATATATATATATATATTTATATATAAATCGGCCTGCAAGTTTGTATGTGTGCATGTATGCAAGTATAGGTATACTATATAGATGTTTATACATATCCTTGTATATTTTGCATGTCTAAATGTACAAATGCATGTGTTTATGTAGAGATATATATATATATAGTATATGTGTGTATGCATGCATGCATGCATGTATGTGTATGTATGTATGTATGTATGCATGTCTGTCTGTCTGTCTGTCTGTCTGTCTGTCTGTCTGTCTGTCTGTCTGTATGCATGCATGCATGCATGCATGCATGCATGCATGTATGTATGTATGTATGTATGTATGCATGTATGTATGTATATATGTATGTATGTCTGTATGCATGCATGTGTATATGTATGTATGAATGTATGAATGAATGAATGAATGAATGTGTATTCATATAGAATGTATTGTATATGTGGAAAAACTTGGGGCTCCGCCGGCTGGGCACCCCCAGAACGCCGTCGCGGAAGCGCATGCAGCTGCTGGCAGGCACCGTGGGGCGAAGAAGCCTCCAGTGCAGTGGCGAGCTCCGGGATCCGGCGCTGGTGGAAAATTTTTGATCTGCGGGGCGAGAGCGAACCTCTTCCGCTAAAAGCTAGGCGGGCTACGCACAGCCTTAATTAGGGAGACAGGGCACAGGAAGGCGGGGCCTCAGGCGGCCAGGAGCGGGCGGGGCCCGGGGAACAGGCGGTGCCGAAATGGATGTGCAAGAAAAGGTACGCCTTGGACAGGAACCGAGGGCGAAGTCCCGGAAGGCGAAGGGAGTGGGCGCTGGTGGAACATGCAACATCGCAACAAAAACACGAACAAAACCCTAGACCCCATCTTGCGGCGCTGCGCCATCTTTCGAGCCGGATCGATCTGTGAGGGTCCCGGCGCCCGAAACTAGGCGCCATCGCCCAGCGTGAACAAAAATTGTCAAGCCCAGATGTCAGCGAGAACCTGCGACAACTTGTGAGGTCCTCGAGGTCTGGGTGTCGTCGTTCCAACTCGCGCCCAAAAACAGCTCGTCGTCCCAGCTCGCGTCCAGGTCCGGGCCTGGCCGCTCAGGCACTGCTGCCACCATGGGTGGCACCTCGCGATGGCGGGCGGTTTCTGGCGGCATGCGGCCACCGACCGGTCGCCGAAGATCGGACTGGAGGTCCTTGAGCCCGAACGGCCACGCGGCAGGAGGGAGATGCTGAGGATTTGGGTGAGCCTTCATGGGAGGACGCGGAGGATGAGGAGGATGATCAGGAAGTATGATGATGATGGTGATGGTGATGATGTTACTGATGCTGATGCTGCTGATGAGGATGATGCTGCTGATGATGATGATGATGATGATGTTGATGCTGATGATGCTGACGATGGCGATGACGACGATGATGATGTTGATGCTGATGCTGATGATGATGTTGCTGCTGCTGATGATGACGATGATGGTGTAGCTGATGACTCAGATCATGGTGATGCTGCCGCTGTTGCTGCTGACGATGATGATGCAGCTGACGCTGATGCTGATGCTGATGCCGCTGCTGCTGATGATGCTGATGATGATGCCGATGACGATGATGATGATGCTGCTGATGATGCTGATGATGATGATGATGATGCTGATGCTGCTGCTGATGATGGTGATGATGATGATGCCGATGATGCTGTTGATGATGGTGAAGAAGAAGATAATGATGCGAACTTGCCCATGCGATTGCCCTCGCGATGGCGGAGGGGGCCCTGGGACCGGCCCAGCCCCGTTCGTGCTCGGTGCGGTGCTTCCCTTCGGTCACCTCGGGCTGTGCCTCCACCTCGACGCTTCTTGCCCGGCCGAGACATCAGGGTGCACCGCCTGCCTTGCTTGCGGGGATCTCCCCGCCACGCCCTCCACTGGAGGCTGCTGGCTCGGGACCAAATGATTACCAGCCTGGAACATATCCCTATCCTTATGCTGGGCATCTCCTCATCACGATGCCAATCTCAGGGATTCCCTTATTTTTTGAAGGCGAATCCCTAAGATTGTCATCGCCTTGTGGCGTGTCAATCTTAGGGATAGGGATAACTTCGAGGCTGGTAAAATGATCCCTTCCTCCCCGCCGGCCGTGGAGAGGTCGCGAGCGCGGCGCCGCACCGTCTCCTGTGGCATTTTCGAGCTGGGCCGCCGCGCCACGGGCAGCATCGCGGCAGGCGGAGCTGCCAAGCTCCTGCGACGGCTCGAGCGTTGGGAGGCTGCGCGATGGTGGCGGGCGGCGATCTCTGTCATCGTTTTTTTTTTTTTTTTTTTTTTTTTTTTTTTTTTTTTTTTTTTTTTTTTTTTTTTTTTTTTTTTTTTTTTTTTTTTTTTTTTTTTTTTTTAAATTGGTTTTCTTCTTTTTTTATGTTTTATATATATATAGATATATATTGGGGGTGGGGGAGGGCGGGGTCGTCGCGCAGTGGTTCAGCCGCAGTCCCGCAGAGGCAGTCCACTCAAGAAAGGCCCTGGCCTCCTCCCTTCTTCCCGAGACAGCAGAGCGAAGCCGCCACCGTGCCTGCGGCACACTGAGGCAGGGAAGAACCTGATCGAACAAGAACGGGAAGCGCCGCTGTAGCCCGAAGGGCTCCCCGGGGAATGAAGAAGAGGAGGAAGAGGAGGGCGAGGGCGACGAGGAGGCGACGACGAGGACGACGTGGAAACCGTGAGGATCGCGAGGCGGAGCATTGAAGCATGGAAGAGTGCCAAGTGCTGCCTGGCAGGGCTCGCGCAGCGGGGACTGCACCGCCCCTGCCCCCGATGGGGGCTCTGGGGGCGGCCGTGGCTCCGCCCCGGGGGGCTCTCCAAAGCTTCTGTGGCGGCCCAGGAGGCCCCCAAGACTGTCCAGGAGGCCCCGCGTCGCCGAGCGAGCGCTCGCCACCGCCCAAGATGGCCTCCAAGACGCCCCAGGAGGCCTCCCCAGAGGGGTCAAGAGGTAAACGTGATTGATGTTCCAGAAGCTTCTGAAGGGTTTTGGCGTTCCGCCTTTTCGGCTTTCCGATGCTTCAAGACGGCCCAAAAGGCACCCCAAACCAACCCAAATCGGCTCAAGAGGCCTCCAAGAGGGCCCCAAGACGGCATAGTGAACGCCCCCAAACGGCCAAAGAGGCGCTCAAGACGGCCCAAGAAGGCCCCGAGACGGCTCCAAAAGGGGTTCACGAGAGGGAACACGAACCGAAAATCCAAGCCTTCCGCCCCAAGAGGCCCCCAAGAGACCGCAAGAGGCGCCCCAAGGCGGCCCCAAAAGGCCCCCAAGAGGCTCCGAGCGGCCCCCAAAAGGCCCAAGAAAGGCCCCCAAAGGCTTCCAAAACGGCCCCCAAGAGGCCTCAAAACTGCCTCCGACCCCCCCCCCCCGAGAAGCCAGCCTTCCACGAGATCTCAACGAACATCCAAAAGGCTCCGTACCCACAACCCAAGCGCGGTGGCAGGACTTGTCGGAGGCAGCTGGATAATGACAACACGTGGCCACGCCTTCTCGGGGCCGCCGAAAACATGCTGATGGTTTGCAGCGCCACGACGACCACGGGCCAGAGGCTGCACTCTGCCATGCGCGCCTGGTCTCTGTCTTGGGCTCTGTTGGTGTCCTGCCGTTGCCTTTAGCTCTTCCCAGGTCCTCGCGGCCAGGGGCTCTTCTTCAGCGTGTCGCGGCAAGGGCTTCGGCGGTGCGCAATGCCTTGCAAACGGGCGCGTTGTCGCTCTGCTCCGCAGGGCGGGAGACTGGGGCTCGGGACGTTGACG